CCTCCTTCCCTGGGAGCCTGTGGCTGGAATTCCCTCCTTCCCTGGGCACCTGTGGCCGGAATTCCCTCCTTCCCTGGGCCAGGAGCATCCAGGGGCTGCCCAGGGGGATCCTCTGCAGCCTCTCCCTCCCAACCTCCTGCTCTTCCCTCTTGCAGGGGCCCGGCAGGAGCTGACCACCGTGTACGCCCAGGTGAACCCCTGCCAGGTGAGCCCGGCCAGGGGGGCTGGATCCCACCTCAGCCCGGGATTGGGTTCGAATTCCGGGAATTACAGAGCTCTGGGATGAAATCATTTTGTCCCACAGCCTCTGACGGTGGCACATCAGGTCTGTTTGTGTGAACTGAATTATTTATTGTGACAAAGGAGGGAACAGATGAAAGATCTTCGTCAGGGTTATTTATTGCACGTGTAAAAGCTAAAAACTGCTGGTATAAAATGGTGTAAATAGTGTAGTATCATAGTATAAATATTATATAAATATATAAATAACCATATAAATATATGGTATAATATAATTTATCATACTACATTAATTTTATTAATAAACATTATTAATGTTAATAGTTAACAATACAAATATTATCGATATTATCGATAGTAATTAATAATGTTGATTAGTACAGTAATACAGTGCCCTGGACCCCAAAAGCAGAGCCCTGGAGCCCAAAAGCAGAGCCCTGACCCCAAAGCAGAGCCCTGGGCCCCGGGAAGCTCAGCCCCGATAATTCCAGTGTTTTCCCTCCCTGGCTGGATACCGGGCCGGGCACAGCCCCCTTATCAGGGCAGAGCAGCAGGGCTGCCCCAGCAGGGCAAGGGGGTCACAACCCCTGGCTTTGTCTCCTGGGGTTTTTGGGAGCTGGAAGAGGATGTGCCAGTGCCGGGAAGGGCCCAGGGGCAGCTGGCACGGCCTGGGCTTCCCAGGGCACCCCCCAGGGCTCTGCCCCCGAAATCTTGGCTCCCCATCCAGAGGGAGGGGGCAGAGAATCCCAGAGCCATGGGCTGGGGTGGTTTTGTAGGGATCTTAAAACCCATCCAGTGCCACCCCTGGCACGGGCAGGGACACCTCCCACCAGCTCAAATCGCTCCAAACCCCTCCAGCCTGGCCTGGGACACTGCCAGGGATGGGGCAGCACTCCCAGGGGTGGGTCATCAAAGGATCTCTGGCTTTGGGGTCTCTTTGCCGACCCCCAGCCCTGCAAAAACGCTTTTAAACCCTTTTTATTCCCCCCCCAGAACGTCCCGAACGCGACAAGAGACAACCCGAGGGGGGAGAACTCCACAACCATCTACGCCACGGTCAAGGCTCCAGCACAGGTGAGGGGGGACTCGTGTCCATCTCCCGGGAGCTGGGAGACCTGGAATAGGGGGAGAGATGGAATAGGGGGAGAGATGGAATAGGGGGAGAGATGGAATAGGGGGAGAGATGGAATAGGGAGAGATGGAATAGGGGGAGATGGAATAGAGGGAGATGGAATAGGGGGAGAGATGGAATAGGGGGAGAGATGGAATAGGGGAGACCTGGAATAGGGGGAGACATGGAACAGGGGGAGAGATGGAATAGGGTGGGACATGGAATAGGGGGAGAGATGGAACAGGGGGAGAGAGACATGGAATAGAGGGAGACAGAACAGGGGGAGACATGGAACAGGGTGAGACATGGAATAGGGAGAGACATGGAATAGGGGGAGACATGGAATAGGGAGAGACATGGAACCCCCGGAGCTCAGGACATGGAACAGGGTGAGACATGGAACAGGGTGAGACACGGAACCCCTGGAGCTCAGGGCATGGAATAGGGTGAGACATGGAATAGGGTGAGACATGGAACAGGGTGAGACATGGAACTCCTGGAGCTCAGGACACGGAACAGGGTGAGACACAGAACCCCTGGAGCTCAGGGTACGGACAGGGGGGTCTCCACTTTGCTCCTCGGGGACGAAGCCCGTGGGTCCCTCCCCCGGGGAGGAGGGACGAGCTGCCCCGAGCCCAGCAGAGCTCGTGTCCCTTTGCCCCTGCAGACGGACGACGAGAAGATGGGCAGCACCGTGCTGGGGGGGCAGGAGGTGGAGGAGAAGAGCATCTACTCGCTGGTTGTGTGAATGACCCCCCATCTACTCACTGGTTGTGTGAATGACCCCCCAGCTCGGCTCCAGCGCAGCTCCCCGGCCCGGCCCGAGCCTGGAGCTCCCCCTCCCTTCCCTCCACCCTCGCCAGCGGGTCCTGCGAGGGCGCGGGGGGGCCAGGAAGGGTGTCAGCACCCGGGGGATGTGAGCCCCGAGGGAGGATGTGAGCCCCGAGGGAGGATGTCGACACCCTGCAAGCACAGCCCCGTCCTCTGCGGGAGCTCTGGGGAGCTCTGCCCTTGTTTTCGGCGGCCACGGGGGGTTTGAGCTCCCTTTTTCCACCTGCTTTGACCAAAACTGCGGCTGCTCGTCCCGGGGGCGAGGACTTGAGGGTTTTGGAAGCGTTTTCCGACCTAAATGAGTTGAAAAAAAAACCCCAAAAAAGTAACTGAGTGCCGCGTCCAGTCGTTCCTTGGACACCTC